TAGGAGGGAGAGTCTTGTTTTAATTTTAGACAAAAATAAAATAACAATATAAAATGTTTAAATTTGTTTAAATCATCATCATCATCAACAACAACAACAGCAACAACATCAACAACAACAACAACAATTTACAGCACTTATTACAACAACAACAACAACAACAACAACAACAACAACAACAACAACATCCACCACTAGGTTTTTCCAGAAGTACGGAGCAGAGGACGCCGGAGAGTACAATCTGACGTTCGTGGGCTGGATGTTGATGGCGTTCCCTCTGTCCCTTGTGTTACTGGTGGCTGTGTGGGCATGGCTGGTTATCTTGTACCTTAGGAGGTGAGTGTTGTTGTTGTTGTTGCTGTTGTTGTGGTGGTGGTGGTGGTGGTGGTGGTGGTGATGGTAGTGTTGTTGTCGTTGTTGTTGTCGTCGTCGTCATCGTTGTTGTTGTTGTTGTTGTTGTTGTTGTTGTTGTTGTTGATGATGATGTTTGTGTGATGGTGTTGTTGTTGTTGGTGGTGATGGCGGGTGGTGGTGGTTGTGGTTGTAGTTTTTGTGAGGATGGTGATGGTTGTAGTGATGATGGTGGTGATGAAGGTGGTAGAATTGGTGTTGTTGTTTTTGTTGTGTGTATTTGTGTGTGTGTGTGTGTGTGTGTGTGTGTGTGTGTGTGTATGTGTGTGTATGTGTGTGTAGTAACCTATCCGTTTGAAATGTTTAGAGCCCCGAATAGCGTGCTTTTCACCAGGGCCACCGCCGCTCTTACTCTTGGGTAGTGGGTGAGGCTGTCCAACCTCCCTAAATCCTCCCCAAAGACTGAAGAGATGACACTGCGCACTGATGCTGCTGCTGTTGTTGTTGCTGTTGTTGTTGTGGTGGTGGTGGTGGTGGTGGTGGTGGTGGAAGTGGTGGTGATGGTGGTGATGGTGGTGGTGGTGGTGGTGGTGGTGATGGTGATTGTGGTGGCGTTCTCTCTGCCCCTTGTGTTGATGTTGTTGTGGTGATGGTATTGTTGTTTTTCTTGTTGGTGATTGTGGTGGTGGAGGTGGCGTTACCTTTGTCCCTTGTGTCATTGGTGACTGTGTGGTTGTGACTGGTTATCAGGTAGGCTACATGTACTTGTTGTTGTTGTTGTTATTGTTGTTATTGTTATCATTTTTTGTTGTTACAATTGTTGTTGCTACTGTTGTTGCTATTGTTGTTACTGCTACAGTTACTACTGCTGCTGTTCCTGCTGCTCCTGCTTTGGGTGAGGGGGGGGGTGTTTGTTGCTTTGTTTTCTTTTTGTTTTTGGGGGGTTCTCGTGGCTTATTTGTTGTTGGTTGTTTGTTTTTTTATTCACTTGAGACACACCAGTAGTCAATTTCCCCTTTACTGCATTCACTCCACCAGGAGCTGCTGTGGCACCAAGAACAAAGAACAGATGGAGGCAGTGAGGCGGGTACTGGAGAGGGAACACAGGCAACTGGGGCCCGTCACGTGAGTATACTCGAGAACCTGTCCAAAGCGGCCACCCATTTTGTCGAGGGAAAAAGGTGGTTGTCCTGGCAGGGTGGCTGCCCTACAAAGTGGGTTTGTTGGGGTTTTTTTGCTTTTTTTTGTTTGTTTGTTAGTTTGGTGGTGGGTTTTTTTTGTTTGGGTTTTTGTTTGGGGTTTTTTTTTG